GCCCAATATAACCCCTTACACTCCCAGCAAGCCTCAATTTTTCTAGTGTCTTTAGGTGATGGGCATCTCCTCTCTACTGAGAGACGAGAATGCTTTGTAACATAAAGATTTTTTTTCTGGATGATTTTTCTATAATGATCCATCCTCGCCAGCTGAAAACACAGGGCCATCTTGCAGTGTTGCCTAGGGTACAACTTCTGTTTTTTGTGACAAGTCGAACAGTCTCTGTATAGTTCTATGTGCCTGACTAGATTGGCCAGACTGCCTCTGGCTTTTTGGGTTTCTAACTCAGGAAATGGAGAATTTGGAACGATTTGACTAATTTGGAGCTGCTGCTCTCTGAACGTTAGGAAATCTTACCTGTTTTCTGTGCACCTGTTGGCATTTGTTCCTGCATTTCTCACCCCTTGATAGATAACTTTTGGTTGTCCCTTGGTTCCGACTAAAGTCCTGGACTGTACGATTAAGATAATAGGAATTTTGCCTTTACCTTTAAATTCCACATCTTAGAGTACAGTACACAGGTCTCTCTTCTGTTTCTGTATTTCACTCCTTATTGCTTACTACAAAGCTGAGGCTTGCTCGGAGTGGGAGGGGTTATATGGGTGGTGGGGAGGGAAGGGGGGGATTAGCTATCCTAACCACTCTGTTTGCCAGTAACCAGTGTCTTGAAGGTGGCTGCATACAACCCATGGTTCTGGCTAATGACCTAGTCCGTTATGTGTATAGAATCTTTTTTTTTTAAAATAATGATTCTTCTTTAATTAGATTCTTCTATCTACTGGTTGTATCACAGGCTGAAAAATGTAGATTCCCGGAGTCTACCTAAGCCAATGAGCAAACACAGTTCCCTGCCATGTGCGGGTTTGGCTGCGACTGTCTTGGCAGTGTGTGCTACTCAGAGGGACACTGTGATAAGTTGGCCTTATCACAGTGTTTCTTGTGGGCAGACAGCACCCCTGTCACTAATGGAGGTTCCATTACTCAGCTCATGTGCGTCCAGATCCTGTATGTATGTACCACTCTGTTGGACTCACTTTTACTGGTCTGTGGTAACCCTTTTGGCGTTCTCTGGGCACATTGTGCCATGCTGTGGCCACCCTGCTGTATTGCAACTAGGTCCTTACCAGGATTTGCTTATCAGCTATTGGGATTTTCCCTTCTCTGTTCTGTTATATTGCTTAGGAGCAGATTGGTAGTGAAGATGAGACAGTTCAGTCATAACGTATAACAATGTCTGCAAGATGCATTTTGGATGTATGCTTATGTGTTAGAGGAAATTCTTTTACATGATGTTATTTAACACACTCCGTCTTATGCTAACTAAGTTTTATCGTTCTAAACTTCCTAACCAGTTAGGCCTCTGATACACTGTACACGGTGGACACAGTTGTAGAGAGTTTTTGTCAATAGAAACCTGTTTAGTTAACTAGATAGAGGAACATCAAAGGGATCATCAGAGCAGCCAATCAGAAATTCTTTCAGTGTTAGAGAATGGCAGTAAACTGTATATGAAGCCAGAGGTTGAAAGTGTTTAGGGGGAATCAGAGACATGAAGAGCGAGGCCTAGTGGTGCATACAGTATATAGATTAGACATATATGCTGGGTATATGGAGTATCTGCATCCTGAGGCCTAGATACACATATAAAAAGGGACTCACAGGCCTTTTTATTTTCTTTTCTTTATTATTATTCGGTAAATACTCTGTTGGACTGTTTATGCTCATCTGTTTCTGGGATCTAATAAACGCTACACACACACAGTTTTTGAAGGAACTTGGCAGGTAAGTTGTTCCAAACATCTTGGAGAACTAACCACAGATCTTCTCTGGATGTAGGCTGCCTCAAATTCTTCTGTCTCCATGTAATCCCAGACAGACTCTATGTTGAGATCAGGGCACTGTGGGGACCAAACCATCACTTCCAGGACTCCTTGTCCTTCTTTGATAAGGTTTGGAAGACCCAGAACCCCCTGTCTCCTATGGGTACAAATCGTAAATTTAGGAATCCTAGGTCGCTTATTTTCCCATACAAAAGCCATTATTTGGCTTTGAAGGGCACGTAAAGCATAACCTGGTAATCGCGACGGGCAGTTTGCGAAAGAGATATAGCAGAGAGAAGGGTCATCTTGACAGCATTACTTTCCCCATCCAGGAGAGACGGTGGCGGGACCAATTAGAAAGTAATTCCTTAGAGTGCTTAAATAAGGGGATATAATTGGTTTTATATAGGGAATCGTAGGTTCTAGTCAGGTTGATACCCAAATACTGTAAATGGACGTCCCACCATGTAAAAGTGAAATTGTGATGGACGGAATCTGCAGTTTTCAACGGTAAATTGATGTTAAAGGCCAAAGATTTATCTTCATTACCAGTAAGGCAGGATACTTGATCGAGCAAATGTAAAGTGGCTAACAGGTTAGGTAGGGTAATGTGGGATTGGGAGATGGAGAGGTGCAGATCATATGAAAATAGGTTAAGTTTATATTCAGACCCTCTCACTTGAGATCCCATGGATGTTGGGGTTTTGACCCAGCGATTGCGCAAGAGGCTCAATCGCAAGGTCAAAAAGGATTGGGAAAAGGGGACAACCCTGTCGGATACCTCGCAAAATTGGAAATGGGAACAATGAATGGTGTAAATATCTTATGGAGGCTGAGGGATCATTATAAAGAGCTTGAAGCAACTTTGAGAAGGTTTCTGGAAATCTCCGTTTGCCCAGTACATAATACAGATAATCCCAGGAGAGTGAATCAAGAGCTTTATGCATGTCTCACGTCAGTAACATACCCCAGATGTCAGCGTTGTGCATGGGATGAATCAATTGTATAATCTTCCGTGTAGCGTCAGGGGCCTGACGGTGCAGAACGAAGTTCACTTGGTCTCTATGAATTAGGCTTTCTAAAAAAGTGTTAATTCTAGCAGCAAAATTTTTTTTGAGTATTTTAATGCCTATGTTCAATAGAGAAGTGGGTCTATAGTTATGCGGGTCCGAATCATCTTTGCCAGGTTTAAGCAGCATGACAATTTGTGCCAATAGGGAGGAAGAATGTAATTGCGAGCCTGTCTTCAAATGGTTAAATCAACAAGTCAGTGACGGGGCTACAGGGAATGCAATTATAGTAATATGGTCCACTAGACCGCACTGACTTTACAATTCATAGGTAAAAATTATCAGTACATATACTGACGATACATATACAGCAAATGGCCCTTTGTGACAATACTTGGGCAACAAACCTGTGGCAATATGCAGGCAACAAGTGGACAATTTCTATAATATGTGGGCAACAAATAGACATTTGTTACAATATGTGGGTTATGACAATAACAGTGGCATTAAGTGAAGCCCAGTCTGCCTCCCTTCCACTCTTCTTATCTTTGCTCTAAGTCTGTGTTCCAGCAGTAGGCTGCAATGTCTATCTCCCTCTGTTCGTACAATTCCTCAGTGTCCAGAGGAAGGAGCTGGAGGAAGAGAGATCACCAGAGTTGGGCTTTAAAGTAGAACTATGAGCAAAATCAAAAATTAAATTTGCTGTCAATGGCATTAGCACAGCAGGTTTTGTTTTGAGCCCCCCCCCCCGTAACATTTTATTAGCTGTTGATCCTGCAGGTGGATCTGTTTTTCATTTCCTGTAATAGGGTAACAATGTTGTTCATTCTGCCATGAAATTGCACAGCAGTGTTGTCAGCCTGTGTCATCTTAGATGAACATGTTGTTTTGCATGGACTTTAACTGTTAACATCCATTCTGTCACCAAATTCAGAATATAAATATTACACTTTAAAAACAATTTAAACCCAATGGAACACACAGAAATATATATTCAGTGAGAAATTGTACTAATATCCTCTATTTTCATGTTTTCCCCTCTACCCTCCTGTTTTAGTTGTACAGTGTGTCAAGCTATGACTGTGCAGTATTATAGATCCTACAGTTTGACCATGCTGGTCAGTGCACTCTGGTCAGATACACCCCCTCCTTCTGTGCAGTGCAAGTATGCATATAAGAAAACCCGTGATTAGAAATGTGGCCTTTACTCATGTATGCCAATATAGAGCCCAAAAGTGGGATTGCAGAAAGCGCATTTTCCCTTCAAGAAAAATATATATCAAGGCATATCACAGAACAAATCTCTGTAAAAAAAAAAAAAGCATTATGTGGCAGTACAGACTGAAATAAATACTTTGGGCTTTAACCCTTATGCTGACAGATGCTATTGAGCCTGTACAATTACTTAAGACTTGCAAACATATTTTCTGAAATCGGAGACCCTGAAGAACAAAATGGTTGCAGCAGCAATTTTTTTCATGTGCTGTACGTTCTGACGGCTGTAGAAGTGATCAAGGGGCTTTGCATCCACCCTGGATCATATCTTGTAAATAGCTGACAGCTTGCAGACTGAATGTAAACAAGCTCCCAGCTACTATAACAACTGAGTCTGTTTATAAGTCCCTGCTTCCGCTGATGTAAGCCTTACGTTGGTGACAGTGAAAGGGTTAAAAGCAGGATATTCACCAAGTTGCACCTCAAATTTGGACATTTGAAAGCTCTGGTCCTCATCTGCCCGCTCCGTAACAGCTATATTTTGCAGAACTAACTGTTCATGCCCTCTCCCCTGACTGTCCCTGCAGTGAGCACTAGAGGAACAGAGAGGGGAGGGGGGAATCTCTGCAGGAAGCAGTGACTGCTCTCTACAGGAAGGAGAGACGTTGAGCTGAGCATTCAGCAGTTACATGATTGCTCAGCTCTCGGTATAGAGCTGGTATGACAGCTGTAGTGTCCCATTCCGGCTCTAAGCATCAGAGAGTTTATTTTCCTCTCCCTGCACTTCTCTTTTAACCTAATTTACTGCATTCTCTTGTGTTTCTAGGATGCTTTATAATGCACAGCCTCTTATTATTACATTATGAACTAGGGTTGTACAATCATAGTTTATGTTTGCCACTATAATAAAAGTAATCAAAAAGCAAGCAGAGTGCACCCGTTTGCACGAGTAAACACATTTTAATGTAAAGAATGAAAATAAAATGCGCTTACAAAGTGATGACATAAGAGCATATAAACAGATAAGACATCCATCTGATGTAAGGTCACACCAGCAGAATTATCCCTTCATACTAGCTGTCAGGAGGAGAGGTAGGATGCAGATGTAATATTGGGTACTAAATGGGGATAAGATGAAGCAATTTGTCCAAAATTAATAAAATGAGGACCTAGCTTGCAGTCTGGAACAGGATACCTTCACTCCACTTTAATTAATTTTTTTTTTCAGTAAACTTTGTAAGCAGTATGGTTTCTAATTTCTCAATTTCTTTTTTTCTTTGCTGTTAGATCCTGCCATTTCCCGGCGCTTGGCTGGACATTTACTTACCTGCTGTTTTTCCGTACGGTGACCTATTATAACCTTCAAGCCCCCACTCCATTTGCGAATGCTTTACAGTTGCTGTTAACATTGAAGGTGAGTACATATTCTACACAGACATGCTGCAGTTAGGCATTTCCTTTTGTTATGGTTCAGTCTAGAGAAATGTAATGTTCTGAATAATTATGAAGTAAAGAAAGAACAGTGTTACATAGCAAATATAATATAACGAGAAACATTCAACAGGTTAGGTCTATGAAGAAAATTCCTGTGTGTGTGTGTGTTTTATAGTCTGCCCCTAACATCAGGTTAGAATATAACAAACAGTATATAACACAGCGCCAACGGCTTAAGTCCAGAAAAGGAGACAATCTGCAGTGATCGTAGTATAGAACGCTAACGGGGCAGGCTCTCAAATAGGCTTTAGGGAAACCTCAACTCTGGAAAACAAAACACAGAGAGCGCCTCCATCGCATAAAAACTTTTTATTAAAATAAATTTAGACAGATGCAAACATACTCACAAAGGTCGAGTTAAAACAGGCATGAAACGATATGAACACAAGGGACTTAGCCAGCCGGCTGTTTGTCCTCCCTGATGGTTTACGCATTTCCGAGGTCACGCCTCCTTCGTCAGAACCAATAGGGAGTGTTCTATTGACTCCCTTTTTATATCGCGGCCCAACACAGGCTTCAAATTAGAGAACACCTGGGGTCGCAGGGATAAACATGTATGAATGTTATGGACACCGTTGTTTTTTTATATGTAGATCTTGCTATAGAAATGGAATTACGGGTGCGATAAATGAGATTTTGTAACAAATAAAGTTTATATTTTTACAAGAAAAAGGTCTCTGTCTGTTTAGTAACCATCTCTTAACAGTGTCCTCTCCTTTGAGAACACTGCTACCATTTTTTTGTGCTCATTAACTCCGGTTACTTGACCTAGATGACCTATTTCAATTAATACAAAGGGATATACATGGTATATCGGAGCTCCACTTTTTTTCTCTATAAATAAAGACTCCAGCTTATGCATAGGTTATTTAGAAATTTTAGAGATGTTGATTACAGCTATTTTATATAAACACGGCTATATATATATATATATATCGATTTTAGCTGGTAACAAGTCATGTCTCGCTATGTATCTTTATTCTTTGCAGCCGGGTATAGCTCAGACTGATCTCCCCGGTGCGGTAGAGTCAGAATACTCAATTTATATACATATTCCATCTACTAAAATGTAGCTATTAAGGCCTAATGTTTACCCTATTTAGCAGCAACATAGAGGTGCATTTCTTTCGCGTCTTCCTATAGTGTGTAGTATATTGGCCGGATCCAAAAATTGGTCTCTTTTTTACATGATTAGACGTGTCATTCATGCACACACAAAATATATAATAATCACGCATGTGGCACGATATAGTTTGAATTTTGACTTAAGAAAATACCACAGATTAATGCAATATGTATATTTTGTGACTTTTTGTGGCTTTTGTTTTTGCGATGTCTCAGCTTTGTTTTAAACCCGCCCAGAAGTTTCGGTTGAATTGTAGATCAAGATTATTGAAACCTTGTGAAACCGTACTAATATTTTTAGACTACTATCATCCTAATGTCTGATGGCTATGTCACTAATTCCTCCAATAGATCCCTATGTCTCTAATATACATGTAATTCTTGTATCTCTATGTATGAAGTTAGGATGCGGTTCTGTAATATCTTTCATATCGCTACACTTGCGGTTGAGTGATGCTGTAACCGATATTTGGATATAATAATCACAACAACCATGATAGTATCCCACGAATGCAGCTATATTTATTGAATCCTTGTGAAATTGTATACAATTATATGGACTGTTAGGAAACCTTTGAGTTACCTGTTTAACTGTTTAAATTTTTTCAATTACTATTAACTTAAGAGCTCAGTGGGCTATTCATTGATCTTATTAATTTTCACATAGATCCCTTTTATATATACTTTTAACATGTATGCATCTTTTTGTACTTGAATGTATTCAGCTATGATGTTACTTTTTAACAAGTCATGTCTCGCTATGTATCATTATTCTTTGCAGCCGGGTATAGCTCAGACTGATCTTTCCGGCGAGTGTCCCCGATTACGTTAGGTATAATCAATAAGACAGTAGTCTACGAATAAACTCTTTTTTTATAATAATTTTTTAATAACATATGCTGCATTTAAAACCAGCAGTTAGTCATTTTTCGGCTCCTGCGCTGAGATATATATATTACATTTAGGCACATATGTGTGCACGATTATATGCAGGTATATATACGGGCTCACCTACGTATGTCATATTTCTCTTTGAAAATATATATATTTTAGAGCTGCAGCTAACGATTATTTTCAAAATCGATTAGTTAGCTGATTATTACGTTCGATTAATCGGATAAAAAATTAAAAAATAAAATACATTTTAAAAATGGCTCCAGTGATGGGACTACTAATTTGTATTGAGAAAAGCATATATTGAAAACAACCTTTTGGCCTTGTTACCAGCTAAAATTGATTTATATGTATATACGGCCATGTTTATATAAAATAGCTATAATAAACATCTCTAAATTCCTAAATGACCTATGCATAAGCTGGAGTCTTTATTTATCCCTGCGACCCCAGGTGTTCTCTAATTTGAAGCCTGTGTTGAGCCGCGATATATAAAAGGGAGTCAATAGAACACTCCCTATTGGTTCTGACGAAGGAGGCATGACCTCTGAAACGTGTAAACCATCAGGGAGGACGAACAGCCAGCTGGCTAAGTCCCTCGTGTTCATATAGTTTCATGCCTGTTTTAACTCGACCTTTGTGAGTGAGTATGTTTGCATCTGTCTAAATTTATTTTACTAAAAAGTTTTACGCGAAGGAGGCGCTCTCTGTGTTTTGTTTTCCAGGTTAGAATATATATTCATCTGCAGGCTGGGAGACATACCCAGCCTGCTAGTGGGTATTTTAAAATGCAATTACCAATAGCAGGCTGGCTATTGCACCCGCCCACTGCCTACTGTCAATCTGCATGGGAGGACCTGATGGAGAACTTCTCTTTGAGGCCCCTCCTTTGCTGATTGACAGCAGGCAGTGGGCAGAGGCAATAGACAGCCTGCTATTGCAATTTGAAATATCCAATAGCAGGCTGGTTATTGCTCCCAGCAATAAAGTTTAAAAAAATAAAGTTAAACTAAAATTATAAAAGACAAAAAAAGTTAAACATATAAAAATTAAAAAAACAAACAAATAAAAAAAAAGGTAAAGAAACTAAAATTAAAAATAGAAAAACATTTTTTTTGTTGTGTCATTTTAACCACATGCTGTCCGGGGCATTTTCTTTCATTTTGCGCACACATGATAAAATATAAATTTCTGCGCAAATGTTTATCAAACACGTATTTTTAGGAAAAAATAAACTAAATTAAAATTTAGTGCACAGAAATAGTATACCCAATTCTTTGGTAAAATATGAAAGACGGGGTCACGCTGGGTAAATAGATACCAAACATGTCAAGCCTTAAAATTGCGTTCGCCTGTGAAGCCGCAAAAAAAGTCAATACCC